ATGCTGAATTTATACTTTTAAAGTGAAGCAGCTAAAAGGAATTGCTCCTCAATCTCCCAGTTCCCGGTAACCCCACAGATATCATTTTACCAAGCCTTTGCAGCACCCAGCTCCGAGGTGGTGCAGTCACAAGCATTTGACCATACAGTCTCCCTGCACAGCACAGAACAGATCCCAAAAGCTCTGCCTCCAAACCAAAGGCACATTCAGGCTGGCAGAACTGCTTACTGAAAAAGCTGGTACTTCAAAAGTCCATTTGTACAACGGCAGGAGGGAATTTTGTTTTATTTTATCTTAAAACCAAGCAAGAAGGACGCAGGGATTCCCAGCCCACCAGAAGATGGCAACTGTAGCAGTAACACCTTAGAAATCAGTGCTGTATCCACGGCCTTCAGCTCCACCTGCTGCTCCAGCAGGGAGCTACCTGGGCAGGGGCTCAGAGTGAACCAGTGTGACAAACAGGAGACCATCTCGGTCTCTTCCACCGGGCAGCAGCTGACAGAACAAGAGGACACAGTCTCAAGCCACGTCAGGGAAGGTATAGGTTGGATATTAGGAAAAAATGTTTCATTGAAAGAATAATAAAGTACTGGAATGCTCTTCCCAGAGAGGTGGTAGAATCACCATCTCGGGATATGTTTAAAAAAAGGCTGGACATGGCACTTGGTGCTATAGTCTAGTTGAGGTGTTAGGGCATAGGTTGGACTTGATGATCTTAGAGGTCTCTTCCAACCTCATTATTCTGTGATCTTCAGAGTCTTGAGCAGCAAAGGTCTGGAGGGGCTAAGACGGGCCTGGCTATACAGGAATTTGTGTTCCTGACACTTTCAGCTGTGAGAGCATTGCCAGAAGCCAAGAGAAAGCCTACATGTATGCAAATCACAAAGCAAAGACCTGACCTTGTGCCACCTGTGACCTGGTTGGTGTTTGGGGAACTGACAGAGGTGAGCACGGAACAGATCCACAGTGAGGACAATGTCAAAAAGGTAGCAGGGATAAAGGTTCCAGAAGACTCTGGACTAGAGGAAAAGTCCTTCCCATCAGTCAGGAAATGGGATGTACCAGAGAGTCAGGAAATGCATCCTTCCAAATCAGGTCCACAGGCAACACCACTGCAGAAACCAACACTCAAGCAGCAGAGGGGCAGAGTACACAGGAAAACAGTGAAAGTCTTTACACTGTCCTCACCCAGCTGAACTGCCCAGCCCCCTAAAGACACACATACACATCCTACCTCATAAATCCCAGGAACATCAGGAGGACGAGGCTGACGAGCCACCCTGCTGTGGCAAAGGCCTTGGGCATGGTCAGGGCTCCCGTTCCAACAATGAGGTTGAACATGTACACCAGGCCAACCTGCAATCAGCCACATGATCCAGCATCAGAGTGTGCCAGCAATCATCCAAAACACCTCACATACACCCTGATTTAAATGGAGAGGGCAATCCCTGAGCCAGCAGGGTGGGAACAAGTCCATGTGAGAAACAGCTGGACGAAGGGACTGAAATCCAAAGAGAACAATGTGGGTGTCAGCACATTATTGGAGAAACAGATAGTCCCCTCCATTTTTTGTAATTATTTTAAATTATTTTTTTCTCTCTAGCTTGTAAAGTTATAAAGTGCATGAAATTTTTTTTTTGTTTGTTTTCAAATCACTGCCTTCTACCAGAAGGTCCGTGCTGTGGGTTGGGGACCTGAACACAAATAGTTATGGCTATGTACCTTTCCAGGACCGTTTATTCTCAGTCAAGCAGGAAATATCCAAACAGAATTCTAATTCAAAGCCTGCTTGCCATTTTACCAGTAAGAAGATGAGCATATTGTGAAGAAGGGATTTTACTTCCTGAAGGGAAAGGATTTTATCTTCTCTGGCAATGAGCTTTTCCAGTGTCCAAAGACAAAAGAGAACTGTGCACATGGACAGGACCCCCCAGGCTAAGAATTTAGCTCAATTAAAGATCAAAAACTGCCAAAGTTGTTGTGCTTTAGTGGGCTTTTTTAATATAGGTCAGAGTCCCTCCAGAGGAAAGCCAGTAAAGAGCTGTGTATGAGCAGACTTTTCTGGGTGTGGAGCAATTAACATCAGGAGAATGATTCCCCAGTGACCCTGAGAGCACTTCACTGCCATAAGCACAGCAAATTCATCTTCTGCTGAACATCCCAGAACGATGCTTTTCCTTTGGTCAAGCAGAAATGAGAATGGTGCCTGTAATGTTCAGCTGGGTTAGACATCTTCAGGGAAAGAGGAGAGCCTCAGCCCTTGGGATTACTCTAGGAAATTCATGCAGCACCAGCACAACAACATAAGAGCAGGTGACACTAATCCTTGAGGGTCCAGACATCCCAGTTACTGTCTTACTTCTCCATTTTCTCAGTTGTGACCTATTTCTGCAGCCTACTATCCACTTCTCCTACATTTAATCATTAACATGGAGATGAAAATTTTAAAGCATTTAAAATCCAACACACAGATTTCAGGGCTGGTTCTAAATTTATTGAGTTCACTTCAAAAAAAAAAAAAAGTGTTTACAAAGTGCTGTTTTTATAAGCTGACATTTTGTGAAGGCTTGTGGCTATGAAAACCAGTATTTCCAGTAATATAGGAAAGCAGTAATTGGCTCTGCAGTTGCACAGGACACCACATTACAGGGAAGAAACCTCTAAATTACTCACTTCCACTGAAGTGGTATAAAACAAATTACTGCAACAGCTGCAGCTAAGTAAACTTTGAGAAATTCAGGGGAAAATGTTTACATAAAGAAACAAAAGGGAAGAAAGTGGGCTAGTTTCAATGTCCAAGTCCCCCCTGTCTGTTCCAATGACGATTTGGGCTGATGAAAACATTAACAAAATGTAACAAAGTGGGCAGAAGGATAAAGAGTTGGTATGGGACATGAAGCTCTTTCTAGCACTTTTAGATCTATACTTCAAGCACACATCATCCCTTTACCTTATGAAAAGTGATCTGTGATGTAAAAAAACCCCATATAACTACAAACATCAAGCATCTTTAACCACCATTTGACCCCCACAACCTCTTGAAATGCTGAGGTTATGTCCATGAGGAAGTAAGGCAAACACAATGCTGAGGAAAGAAGATTTTGAAAAAAAAACCAAACTTGTGAGCAAACCCACAAGCAGTGGAACTTACATAGGGAGAGTAAAGCTCTCCGGTGTCAGTGATGCCTCCTGCCATCCTGGAGATGGAGCCCCAGAGCAGAGCCAGAAGGGTATTTTTGGGAGGGTCTTTTCAACTTCTGTCACCTTTAACCTAGGGAAACATCATAATATCTTTGCTGGGAAAAGGAAGAAGTCACAAGCTAGCTTTGGCACATCAGTTTTATGGTATTTGAACAGATTTCAGCAGGATCTTGCCCTTCAGACAGACCCCACTCACCAGCACTTCTGTTAAACTGGTTTAAAAGCAACCAAAAGGCCCTGCCCTTTCACAGCATGTGATGACCAAACTTCACCCTCTCCAAACAGCCAGAGGGGCTGTTCCAGACAACTAAAACCTCAACAGGAAGAGTTACTGCCTTGAAGATGATCTCAAACTGCTGCTTCTCATGCAGCTACTACTCCTTGCAAACACGTGCCTCCTACAAATCAAAAAAGCAACCTAAAGTCTCTCCTCCTAAATTCAAGTACAGAAATAGTAGACAAATTAAAATATTGGACCTATTAAAGACACACCAAGATGCTTTTCATGCATCTACATTTCCAAAGCAGAAGTGTTTGGGAAGCTTTACATTGTTTCAAAAAATCTAGATGTGTATGGAGAAACTGAAGCCTTCTGTAAAGTTTCAGTGTCAATAATTAGCCACGATTGAAGTAAAGGCTTCACACTTCTACATGTGCTCCTACTCAGCCACATCAGCTGGGACAAACCATCAGCACAAGCTGAACTCCACTGAAAAACCCAGTGATAAGCTTGTACACCCCCGCTGAACGCCAGAAAAGAATCAGGCAGCATAACTCACTGAGGTCATAACTGGACCAGCTCAGAAAGAGAGCTCAAACACATCAGGAAGGAGAGCTTTTCACAACAAACCTCGGCTCAAAACGCTGAAGCCGAGCTTGGCAAACACGGAGCAAGCAGGAAGACAAGGCACACGGCGGGACACGCGGGCCAGCGTGTCCCGAGCAGGCCCCGGCCCCGGCGGGGACACCGACACCAGGCCCCCGAGGGCACCGGAGCCCCCCGGCCTGCCCCGGCCTGGCTCCCCCGGGCCTGCACCCCAGACGGGTCGCTGCTCGCCCCCCTGCCCTCTCCGGGGGACTCCCCCCGCCCCACAGAGCGCCGACAACCCCGGCAGCGCCTCCCACCACCCCAGGGCGTTCTCCCCAGGCCCGCTCCGCTGCACACCCCCACACCAGGACCCTCGCCAGGCCTCTCCCCGCCCGTCGAGCCCCTTCCCAGCCCTCCTCGCAGGCTGTCCCCGCACAGGGCCGCCCCCAAAGCCCCTCTGAGGGCCGCGTCCCGCCCGGGCCCCCCGGGACCCCCCGGCCCCTCACCAGCGCCAGCGGCTCGTGCCGGCGGCCCCGCCCCCGGCCGCGCGGGGGCACTCACGGCGCACGCGCCGCCCGAGAGCGGGGGGGCCTTCCGCGCACGTGACAGGCCCGCGGGGCGGGGCGGGG